TTTAGCAAATAGAAATAATGTTTAGTCTGATTTCATGTCAGACATATTGAACATTATACTTTAGTTTTCAGCTTTCTACACATTCACTGCTCGCTGGAGCAGCATCTCCTCGTCTCATCTACAAACGATGGTAAATATATTCTTCACATGGATGCTGCGGTGACATAAGTTCATGTCATGTCCAGGTATCGCCTCTAATAGCATCGGCTGAGCATTTTAAAAGCGGGTTCAGTCTCTTTTTGAAATGTTTTTGGCCTTTGCCGTTGCAGACGATGAGCGTGTTGTCTGACTTGTTGTCTCCGTTGTCGTCCTCAGGGCTTCGTGGTCGCCGTCCTCTACTGTTTCCTCAACGGAGAGGTAAGATTTCAGCCGCTTTATTGGCCAGTTATACACATTCACTGTCATATTTGTCTCTCTTTGCTGATATGTAGAGAACACTGCAGTGAGCAGACGCCAGCTTCTGAACATTAGAGCTTAAATGTAAATCCTGCATTTATAAGCAATTTATCAACATTGATTTAAACTGTAGAAAATAAATGTGTTGTGTTTGTAAGCGGACAAGACGATGATCGTATATTATTACATGCAGCACGTCATCAGATAAAACACAGGATAAGAGAGAAAAACTATAAAGATGATGCAGATTAAAGGTCGACGTGTCGTAAACGTGCAAGAATAAACTGTAATGAAATAAAATGAAAAATACTTTATTTATCCCAGACGGGAAATTCAGTAATCGTGTAAAAACAATTAATTCATTAATAAAAATCTTTGTGAACATGTTCAAAACAATCTCGACTTTAAAAAAATGTGGAACTTTCTGGTTTTTGTCCTAACTTATTATTACTAGTTGTGCTCTGAGCGATAAATGCATTTAAACAATGACCAGAGTCTTTGCCAGCTTTATATCCGACTTTAGATGTGATGTTTTTACTAACTTAGTGTAATTAAATAAATACGAGGCTCATCTAAGTCCTGATGAACACGACCTCGTAACATCCACTAAAGTTAAATGACAAACTTTTGGTTTGTTTTTTGTTGTGAGGCCTCACTTGGCGTCTGCTCTTACAGCTTTAACGCTCAACCAGAAGTCCGTTTGTTGGTAATTACGACCTCCAGGCTCGTTAGTGGTCTATAGGCTGTCAGGACCGTCCTCCAGCACCTCCCCACACACCTCACGTGTCTTCTCGTGGAGCTGGTTCAGCCTAAAGTACATTAAAAATGACCTTGTGAAGTTTCTCCCTGAAGGTGCAGTCGGAGATCAAGAGGAAATGGCGCAGCTGGACGGTGAACCGGTACTTTGCTGTGGACCTGAAGCAGCAGAGGCACCCTTCGTTGGCCAGCAGCGGAGTGAACGGCGGGACTCAGCTGTCCATCCTCAGCAAGAGCAGCTCCCAGATCCGCATGTCCAGCCCGCTGGCGGAGAGCGCCAACATCAGCCTGCCGACCTGAGCGTCTGACGGGCCGCGGTCAGCTCCGAGGTGCCGTCCCCACGCCGTCAGACCAAAGTGGCCCCTCCTGCATCCGGTAGTTTGGCCTTGAACATTTCTGAGAGCGTCGGCTGGAGGCGCGCAGCTGGCTTTCCTATTTTACCGTTTAATTCGGGTGATTAAATTTGAGTATTTTAGCGCCGCGGTCAGCAAACCATTAACGACGCGCTTAATGTTTTCAGACAACCTTAAATTCAGCCCTTTTATCGTTTTATTTACGACAACATTAAAGTGGAATTAGTGCCAAAAGAAACACGATTTAGTTGTAAAATTTTTAAAAAAGCATCAAATGTCGGGGCCACATTTGGCTGTAAAGTAAATGTGCTTCAAAGTGCCACACAGGCTGGATCTCACCAACCAAACGCCCGCCTTGCTTGTACAAATGCTCATCGTTTCAATGTGCCATCTTGAATTTAAACATTTTTCTACGATCAGCCGTAAGTACAGAGTATGTCAAAATATATATATATAGATATATGAATATGGAACAAACTCATGGATCGTGTAAATAGTGACTTTTGGTGTCTGGTTTCTTTTGTTAGCATAACGCAGTATTGTAATGACCTTTTTCAAACAAAAGGAACTGGAGCCCAAATCTGTAGACCTCATCACATCCCCGTAGGACCCAGAAGACCCCGCCCGCTCGGTTCTGGACTCGTTTGTATAAGACTAAAACACTAAATATGAAAATTGAAAAGCGCTAAACAGCAGCAGCCTGGGAGTCGAGAGAAGTTCTGCCTTTTTTTTTTTTTTTTGGAACATAAACAACTCGATAAAATCAGCTCGACGATCAGAAACAAAAAGGTCGGGAAGCAGCAGGAGAAGAGAACCCGAGCCTGGAGCTGCATCCTCCGCCTGCCGGCTTGTTTTTGTTTTTTTATTGTTGTTTGCAGAACATCAGCAACACGTGTGCCATCTAGTGGACGCTCTGGGCCAAAGCGCTCCGTAGTGACTCCAGCGTTCAGCAGGACTCCTCGTCTTGCTCCCATCGTGCCACAACAAACTGCTCTTTTTCTTTTGAACCCATCATCTCCGACACTCATGTTCCAAAGTGCCTAGTCAGTCACTACTAGTTCTCACGTTCCTCCGCGGTGCAGCTCAGGAGGCGTCCTGCAGCGAATGTACAGACCAGTGTGTTCCTTTGTGTTACTGTGGCTGCCAAAGTGACGCTTTGTGTGAAATTCTGCAAATTGAACTGACTTGAATCCTGGTTTGTTTCACTCTTTAGCTCCAACCGTCATCCATTCAAACACTGCTTCAAAAAAACAAAGAGAACAAACAGTAAATGTCGTTCCAGTCGAACCCGAAACGCTTTAACGTGCCAGCTCCTGACAATCGCAGCGTCATGTTTTCTCTCTTTTCGTTGCTGCACAAACAAAGCTAACAAACACTAACCGGTCGGTGGGGAGGAAGTTATCTATGAAATGTGAACTGATGGTTACGGAGGATTCATCCACGGGCTTTACTTGAGATGTTTATTTTGTTTTTGTGCCGTCATCTGCATGGATTATAAGAATGTCTTTAAAAGGAGGACGCTGTGGGACAGATTTATTTCCGAGGATGTGGAGCGGTTAGATGTACAGTTCATTTTATTTTGTGTGACGTACGACAGAAGTGAGATTTCGGTTGGCTTGCTGGGTCACAGTGCCATGTTTGTGGTGTCATAAGGTGACGTGTGGCACAACTGTGACTCTAAAGAAAGACTCAAACTGAAGCTGCCGACGCAACCCCTGAAGTAATCTGTCGTCGTGGCTGCTTTCGGTGGCCATGTTTCTACGGAGGCCGAGAAGATGATTGTATTTTAAACGGGAGGATTTCACCAACGGATAAAACACAAAGTGCGTACGAGGGCGTGATGAGAACCGCTCTGCTGCTGCTTACGTGTTTCTATCACCAGCCGTCACTCTGAGTCTGAACCAGCTCAGATGGAAACGACCATGTGTCAAAGCTGTTACTGTCTGTGGAAAAAAAAAAAAACAAGACGAGGAGAAACGTCCTCGCTCGTGTCTGTGCCGTGTGTTCGTCTCGTCTACCACAAGGTGGCAGCAAAGTCCGATAGTTTGTGGAGAGGAGGGATCTGTTGTGTCTGTTGAGCCTTTTGGATCTGTACTGAACTAAATGTGGGGCGGGGGATGGAGGCCATGTGATTACTATGTTTACATCTGTTCCTGTGACTTTCTTTTACATTCATCAGCCTTGGGTTTGACAGCTAAGGCCTCCGTGGTTTTACTTTGATTTCCAAACAAACTGTGAACTGCCTGAGTTTTCAAACACCTACTGTGAGACGGGAGGAGATTTGGTTGCACTTTTTTAGCACCACATAAACGCCAAGCTTCACGCCGGTCCTGACAAACATCTCAGCAACACACCCGCCATTGTTCATGTCAGAAAAGCCCTCCGCGTGTTTTATTAAAGCGTTTCAGGAGAGTTGTTCACTTTCTCGCTGAGCGTTAGATGAGAAGATTGATGCTGTCTGACTACGGCCAGCTCATGAACACAGGTAGATGTCCAAAGGGAAAAACCCCTAAAGCCATTTTAACTTTCAATACAGAAAACAGAAATAGTTTCAGGTTTTACAATCAAAAAAACTAAAGGAAAAAAGCAAATATTGGGCTTTTTTTTGACAATTCCCTTTTAGTTTATAGGTTTGGAAACAACAAACAGAAGTCGTGTGGATTGTTTTTGTATTTAAAATTCGAATTTCAGGTCTCTATCTATCTATCTATCTATCTATCTATCTATCTATCTATCTATCTATCTATCTATCTATCTATCTATCTATCTATCTATCTATCTATCTAAATGAAATAAGAAGAAGGACCCTAAATGGACGATTGCTTTTTCATTTTTCGATTCTCACACCTGAAACAATTTTTCATTTATAAATTCTAAAGAAATGTTTGGAAATTAAAATGGCTCTGGTGTCGGACTCCGGTGGATTCATCTGTTTTGTGTGTATATATATATATTTATAGTCAAGATGCTAACATCCACGAGCTACCGTCTCCACAGCTAGCTTCCCACCGAGCTAGCTATTAGCTCACATCTACTTTGTGTTGTTCCCCGTTTCCAGTGTTTATGGCGTCAATCTTCTCGTTTAACTCTCAGCAAAATAAAATTTAAAAAAAAAAAAAAAAAGTAAAAGAAGAAACGTGTCCGACCATGTGAGGTGTAGCTGCTCTCTCTGTGTTTTGATGCCGTTTCTCCGGCGTCTGTGCCTGTCGAGCTGTTTTTCTGTTTTTTTAAATCAACTGCTGAGTGTGAGTTCTATCGACCGCCAACGGATCTCTGAATGTACCGTCGTCGCTCCGCTGCTCTTACGTGTTGCCTGCTGTCGGTTCGCGATGTCTTTTCTTTAGCACATGTTCTTCGGCGCGCAGGTGAACCTCTTGACTACGACCTGTAACGTTCGTGACCGTGTTTTTGTACGTTTTCAGAGTGTGTGTGTGTGTCTGAGAGCTGGACTGAGTGTATTCTGTGTGCATGTGTGTGTAAAAACAAGAGGATATAAGTAATTTAAATGTTGAGAAAAAAGAAAAAAAGAAAAAAAACAAGCTGTATAAACTCTGACCTGACTTCTGTTGTACCTGTGACGGTGTGTCATGTGTAACCAGGTGTCCGACACTCATGTTGTGTAAACTTGACTGCAAAATAAATCTATCTGTGGTACGTTGTTGTACGTCGTGGAGACTGTGATTCATTTCTAACTCCCACAAAATGAAGCCGATGTATGAATTTAACTTTATTTTGTGCTTAACGAATGTTTTAGACCTCCACCCAGCGTCAGGTTTACCCCCTAAATTAACAGCATTTGGTAATTAATTGATGAAACACTGGGTATGATTAGCTTTAGCGACCCCTCTCTCCATGTAGTCCTTCCTTTGTAATGTACGATGATTTGCTTAAAAAAAACCACCATCCTGTTCAAACGTACCTTAGACGTGAATGAATCAGATATTTTGCCGTCCTCTGAAATCCAAGATGCAAAACGTCGACACAATAACAAAGCAGTTAATTGTCCTTGAACCACTCATGGTTTATTCATCACTGTGTTTTTGCTGCAGCAGGACGCCGTCTCCAATTAAAACACAGTGTACAGCTCAAATTAAAGTGCAGGACTGGATTATGTCTTGGTGGTTAATGAAGCGGTGCAGGTTGTTTTTCTTTGTCTATTGAAAAGCAAAAAACAGGACAAACAAATACACGTTTGTTTTGTTCAGAATGTGTCATCAGATGTCTTTTCTCCTTAAATTTAAAATCTATAAACCTCTCGTTGCTGCTAAACTTCCACTTAAACATCTTATTTTACCATCTGAAAGTGTTGTAGTGTCAGCAGTAATCTCTTTAGTAAGGTTGACGATGAATACATTTATTTTGAAGGCACTGTACTTCCTATAGTTTTATGCAGATTCATAAATAAGCAGATGGATCTTTTAGGTTGTTCGTAGTGAATCTGGGGGTTAAATGTGTTTTGTGGTATTTTGGGGAACTCGTGCTTTCAACCAGCAGCAGCTCAGAGAGAGATGAGAACGCCGTTTAGACCCTTTTACAGGCCGACGTGTGTCCTAAACGACACGCATCAGTTTGAATGAAGTCATCTTTTTGGCTGTAATACGTGATGTTTGAATACCAACTAAGACGACGCACGTCTCGGCGTCGGCAGCATCTGGTGTGTACGTCCTAAACCACAAACGGCGCCGGAGGCATGTGCTGTACATCAGAGGGAGAATCAGCGTTTCATGTCCCACATCCCAGATGAACGAGGAAAAAAGGCTGAAGTTGTGCTTTGCAGCTTCACAGCACGCTCACAAACTACAGCAGCTGTCGCACGCCGCCTGACTGGATGCACCGCACACAGGCTCTTCTGTAAGTCCTATGAAGTCTGTAAACATTTTAAACTGAGGAAATCTGCATATTTGACAGATATTCTGTACAAGCTGACGTGTGATGTTCCAGACCTGGAGGCGAATGCAGCTCGCTCGAGGCCTCCAGGCTGAAGAACCTGGTGTCAGTTTCCTTTGTCCTGGTCTCCTCCCCACCGTCCAGTCATTGTACATCCACCAACATGACTCGCTGTCTCTGAAACTCTGAATGTTGGATGAAGTCTCAACCAAGAGCCTGCTGACGGTTTCAAACATTAATCCAAACCTACCCCTGTTGCCGTCCTCTTGACCTGAACCTGCTGCCGTCCTCTGGACCACTTAGACCGCCTCGGTTTTGTAGAATAAATGTATTTTTACCTCCTTTGTCCAGCCTCGGGCCGGGCTGTGACGACTGGGGGCTCGTCCGGGATTCAACGACCCATTTTGGCAGGTTGAAGTTGTGACCTGGTTTTCTGGATGTGTGGTCCGTCCTTGCTCGTGACTGTGAAACGCTCCAAAAGTGGCCAAGCTGTGACCCCCTGCCATCATTCAAACACTGCTGAGGCTTGCTTCTCATAGCGCTCTTCACACTGTGGGCATCCAGCTGTGTACAAGACGGGACGGAGCACCATGAATACCACCTCTGGAAAGGTTGAAGGGTTTGCTCCAGCTGTGGATGAATGATGGTTAATAACAGCTCGTTCTGTCACCCGACTGATCTTTGGATTACACAGGCTGTTCTTGGGGAAAAAACGAAACACAGAAATGTTTTTGTAGGTAGCAAACCAATGGAAACACCTAACGAGACGTACAGGAAATAAGTCTTCAAGCTGGATGAAGAGAGTTTACAGCAATGGACTCCACATGACAATATTTATCACTTTATAAGAAAACCTTTTGGATTACTTTGCTGGATGGATCCTTATAGACTAAAGGAAGATAGATAATGGAGGAATCAAACTGTACGACCACTTTTGTTAACAGTCGTATTGAATTCTAATTTTGGTGCTCATCCATCCATCATCTCTACACCTTCATCCTCACTATGGGGGGCTGGAGCCTATCCCAGCTGACTCAGGGTGAAGGCAGGTTCACCTGGACAGGTAACCAGTCTATCACAGGGCTACACTTAGAGACAGACAACCAAGCACACTCACATTCACACCTACGGACAATTTACAATCACCAATTAACCTCAGCATGTTTCTGGACTGTGGGAGGAAGCCGGAGAACCCGGAGAGAACCCACGCTGCACGGGGAGAACATGGAGACTCCACTGTGGTGCTCATGGTTTATGTGAAATGAACTCAGCTTGCTATTTGTAGAGACTCTAATCAATCTAACGACATGTCGCGTGTCCAGACTGAACAAGGTTAAACATTTACATCTCAGCGGGTTGAATCCTGATCTGCTGCAGCTCTCTCCTCTCCTGTCTCTCTCCATCGCTCTGCCCAAAATAATAAAAGGCCAAAAACAAAATAAAATAAAAAGATTTACATGTTAAAACCGTACGGCCCAGTTTACGTACATCTACAGCGGCTGTAGTCCAGATCACACAGTCAGGAAGAAGTGATGTCTTTTACATCCATGTCTCTGCATTATTCTGTAAGCAGCCTGGTCATGTTCTGAACATCGAAGGATCTGTTCAGTTCATTCCATGCAGTTTTCCTCTCTTGCCTTATTGATTCATTTCATTTGCTTCCAACATTACAGCCCACAGGACTCCTGCAGAGGGAGCTTCTTTATCTTACATGTAAAACTCACCGTAGATCATATTAATTATAGTGCAGCTCTCAAATATGAATAAACACACCAAACACATGAAGCCGAAACATCGGAAAGAAGATTATACTCTGATCTGCTGGCATTTTAGCAAAGATTATTTCACAAAGTTTCACAAAGACACACGTTTGCTGTTAACACAGACCTACAGTCGTGTGTATTTGCAGGTTTTGACTGTTTAATGTACATAAAAGCAGCTGTAGACGTAAATGAACTGGGCGATAAACCGTCTGAGTTTAACTCTGACCAGCAGCTGAGTCGAGTGTAAAACCCTCTGAAAACCACCACACGTTGTCTTCATATAGAGATTTATGTACAGATTTTTTAAAAACAGGTGTAACATGTTAAATCGCTCTGAAGCTGTTGTCAGGCTGATTTTCTTAGCTCTGTATGCTAAGCTAAGCTAACAAGCTACCGGTTGTGGCTTTCCGGTCCAGTCGTTTTATCAACCTTCTCATCTAACAGTTGGAGGGAAATAAACTATTTACAAAAGAAAAATTAAGGCTGAACTGTTTTGAGAAATATCTACTTATGATTGGCCACGAGCAATTTAGGAATAGAAAGTACAGTCATGACTCGATGATCCGACACTAAATGTAAAACCTTCTTCTATGTCGGATATCAAGGCTGTGGGATTGTCCAGACGGAGGTCCAGATGCGAGGAGGGCTTGATGCTGGAAGGCTCATTAGTTGTTCATTATTGTTCATAGTTGTTATAATAACTAGTGTGTTGTTAGAACACGACGCATCGCTGGACTTCAGCCTCACTGACCGGTGTGTTGGTGCACCTTCTGAACACTTCCACCCCGGGGCAGCAGTCTGACGGGGTGGAAGTGTCCAGAACACACAGGCAGTACTTGGCTGCTGATGCTAGTTTAGTTAGCGCTCACACTTCTGTTTCCTCCATCGGTGGCGGCGGGGGAGTGGCAGATACGCTCCACCGTTACCATCCATGTTTACTTCCATAAACACTGAGCACGCTCGCTGCGTGTGACGTCGTCGTGTCCTCTTCTGCGCATGCGGGACACTTTTGGCTCGTATGAAGTTCACACAGCAGATCACATACAAGTCGCATTGAAGTGGAAACGTGAAGGAAGTCACAAAGAAATCCTCATTGAGCATCAAGTCCTGCAGTGTGAACGTAGCCAATCTGTGGGATTGTTCAGTCAGATAATACGCCGTCATCCTGATTGGTGACATTAAATGTCATGTCGGAGTCACAATCCAAGGCTGTCGCTATGTTAAGGCTGTTTTTATGGGTTCTGTTGGTTTTTCAGATATCAGGTTTAGGATTGTTAAGGGTCGATTATCGAGTCATGACTGTAAATGAAATAAACATCCAGTTGAAGGCTTCTCGTTTTTTTAGGTGTAAACTTGGACAGTCAGTCAAAACGTGGGTAACTCTCATGGTATAGAATAATATAAACCTGTTGCGTATCATTGGACACATTTTGATGCTCTGACCGTGTACATGTCTGTTTCTTGTTAATTTAGTGTCTCTAGAAGTGCAGCAATGTTTCCCAAAAATATACATCACTTCTGGCTACAACATGAAAGATGAGAAAACACAGGACAGTTCATGAATACTGAGGTGGCTCATCAAAGCAGCACAAACAAACAACTTGAAATCCTTGTTCGGGTCCCTCTGGATCTTAATGTTTGAGAATGTCTCTCCAGCAGCTGGTGAGCGCTGAGTGGATGAACACATTCAGACCCACGCCGGCGCTCCACATGTTTCCAGCATCAGCTCCTCACTTCACAGCAATTTCATACAAGTCAGCCATGTTCAAACATGTCTTGTTTCCACAGCTGCCTCGCATAAGCTCTCAGCGTTTGGTCGTGTTTGCTGTGGTGCGGTCCAAACTGTGCACACAACCTCGTGAAGGTGTCGTCCTATGAGCTCAGGTCCCCCCCACGGCACCGTGACATCCTCACAAATCAAGCCCCGCGGCTGATGAGATGAGGGCCGGCCCACTGTGATGCAGATTAGAAATGTGTGCCGTAGCGTCCTGGTGTCCTCCATTACTCACCGGTGTTCATTACGTCTTCACAGAGGGGTGGTTGGAGTAGCGGCAGCAGCTCTGAGGACGGCCTCTGCTCTTTGTTCTCCACATCCTCAAAGCGTTTTTATTGATTTTTATTTTACACAGACAATCTGAACTCATACTGAGGAGATGTTGCCACTTGAAGGAGGCAGGCCGAGCCCCCCGCGGCTCCGGATCGTGATCTGAGTGATGCTTCTCTTGGCCGGCGTCAGGTGGTTCTGATTGTGGCACTTCCACAGCCAGCGGCGGAGCTCTGTTTGGACCTGCAGACAGACATGTGTGAGACGTGTTCTGACTGCAGACCCCTGCTGAGGGTGTCTGTTTTACACGGAGGTGGCAGCTTTACAGAAACAGAGGCATGTGATGAGATCTCAGAGTTATCGACGTATGACGTGGAGATATCTACACAGCACTGTCTCTCTCTGTTATAGCGACAGTATATTCACATTTTCTGTTGAAACTTCAGCTTCTATGCTGCGTTTTAAAAAGGCCACGTACACATCCACTCCCTGGAAAACAGCTCAACTACATTAAATTGAATAATCAGACTGTTTTCTATGTATTTGATATCACAGAACCGCTCGGCCTTCACCTACCTCCCCGTTCATGAAGCAGTAGAGGAGGGCCACCACGAAACCCTGCAACACAGCACACATCAGTCAGAGTCAGTCATGAGGAATAATTAACAACAATCAGAGGTGAAGGTCTGCACAAGGTGTCACGATGCAGAAAACAAAAGGGTCAGACTCTGTAAAGATGTAATGGGACTCTAATGCAGCTGTTCTCTCCATCAGGTTACTGCTTTATCCCGACATCCGCACCCGGACATCACCACATGACGTCTTATTGATGACGGGAAACCACTTCAGCCTCTTCAACAGCGACTACCGTAATGTCTGGACTATAAGCCGCTACTTTAGGGTATTTAATTAAAAGTTTAAAACATCTTTCTGTGTAAATATCTCATGTTCCAACGTGGACACCTGCAGCTTAGAGACCAGAGCGGCCTGTAGATGTGCACACCTGGTTTCCTGTTTAAAGTCAGTGGGTGCGGCTTATATTCAGGTGCCTCAATAGTCTGGACTTTACGGTATTATTCTGATTAGTAGCCCTTTTTCATGGTGCATCACCTGACGATCCAGTCTACCAAACTCCAGTTGCAAGAAAGATGTTCTGTCAAAGCATCGACCTGTTGTGTGTTTAAGACAAATCCGTTGTTCAGGATGTGCATGAAAGCTGCAGAAAGACTTGTTGAGGTCGTGGAGGTGTTTGGGTTGATATGAAGCCCTCAGGTGTGCACTTGTCAGCTGAACTTCGATGTGATTTTTGTTTGCAGAATAATGAAAAATAACTTGCGATAATCCACCTTTGGATTTAGCTGCTGAGTCTCCAGAAGAGCCAAACCCAACCACAGCCTGACGAAGCCAGCCAGGACTCTCAGATGGTCCCTGATGCAATTAGTCAAAGAGCTGCTCCAAATGCTAGAAATTATTCATTTTAGACAGCTTGTTTAGCAGAGCTGCTGTTTGCTCCTGAGCTCCATGAATCTCTACAATGTGATTGGATGGTGTAGCGTGACCCCTGGAGCCACAACAGCCACATCACTGGGGACCAAACTGGAATAAACCTGGTCCCTCGCTCTCTGAGTTTCCCCTCATGAAATCAAATCTTCAATAAAGGCACAAAGAAATTCATCCAAAAACCAAAACAGGCCTGCTGTGAACAGGTGTAAGGACGTCGTGTGTAAAAGCTCGTCATGTGTTGGTGCGTCTGGACTGTGGTTCGGTACCTGAAAGGAGCCCAGTCCCAGCTCGATGTACAGCCTGGCTGTGACGCCGGTGTTCTCAGGCAGGAAGGCGAACACGGTGTAGTGCATCCCGAACAGAGGAATGAGGAACAGGGTGGATTTAGCCAGCCGCCTGAGAGGAGCCACAACAAAAGGAGAAGAAAGACTCAGAACCGTCAGTCCAGATAGTGACGCAACAGCTGTCTAAAGGCTGAAACATCACCGCATGCAAAGGCTCGGCGGTCGCATGTAAACTCTGAAAAAGACACGAAGCAACACAACGCGTCATTTCAAGTTTGATCAGAGCTGCTGGTGCCACGTCTTCGTCTCCGTGACCTTTCAAACAGCGCCGTCGTCAGGCCAATCAGGGGAAGAGATTAAAAATGTCAAAAATACTGATGCATTGTGCTCAAAGCTGAGATCGCTGATGTCTAAATATCATGTAAATGTTGGCATTTAATTTTTATTTTTATGACATTTTGCTGTTTTCAACAACTTGCTGGAAGTCATGTGGATTTGGAAAGAGCAGCTCTGCTCCGCCAACAAAGGCTGAGATCCTCATCTGGTCTCCTCCTCCTCCTCCCTGTCTTGTCTTTCACGTCACTGGGAAGTGGCCAGCGTCTGATGATTATATCAGATTCACAGCTTGTCATCAGAATATTCAAATTAGCCACGATAATCTCTCTGATCAGAAATAACATCACAGCCTCGGGAGCTTAAAGGTTTAAGATTAAAAAAAAGAAGGAAACGTAAGCTCATTTCAAGCCTCCAGCAGGATTGTCTTCTGTCACACCTGAGATTTGTGCCTTTGTGTGAACGTCACAGATCCGCCGCAGTCACAATGAAGTTTTGTGAGGCAGAGATGAAGCTTGGATGGAACAATCCTGTCACACGGCGACGGAGGAGGCGTCTATTTCTGGCATCAGGTGCTATTTTTACGTGCTCTCATTCTAAATTAATTCGGCTGAGCGCTAACCTGCACCAGCCGGATGTCAAAACAAGAAGAGGATTCGTTCAGGTACAACCCGACTCCAGGGCTCCCACGGCGCTTTCATTAGCGGTGGCTCAGGGGATTTCATTTCATCGCTCTTCGTTTCTGACATAACGTCTCATTCAGCACTTTTAGCTCGAACAGTAGCGCCACGATTTTAAAAAAGAAACACCTTAAAGTCTGCTGTTTAACCAACATGTAACGTATGAAGTTTAGGTCTGATGCAAGCTGATGTTCTCCAGTAAAGGTGTCGCTGACTGATGTCTCTGAATAACTTCCTCTTCTCTGTTGTCTGGTTTTGACCTACTTGCATCTGTAGGTTGAAGCTCTCAGAATGAACCAAATTATTCATATTTACACCAAAGTAAGAGTCTAAGGGCTGCGTCTAGCGCTGTGTTTTAAATCTGCATCCACGTGAGCGTCTTCAGGAGAAACAACGGTTATCACATGGCCATTAGAGCAGGCATGGTGTAAACGCAAGGTAGCGATTGGTTGCTTAGTTGTACAGTTTCAAAAGGTTTCTGGCCATCGAGACAAAAACATGACGGCTCAGCTTTTACTGTAAGAAAGCAGCTTTCATTTCAGGGGTCCTGATGCAGTAACGCAAGCAGCATTTAGACGTCTTAAATAAAATCGTATTAGTGTATTAAGGGGAAAATAACTGTGATTTTTCTGAAAGAGCTCATTTGGAATAAATCATTTAAAGCTTCAGTTCAATATTCGTCATGTCAGAGGTTTAAAGTGTGAAACACCATCGGCAGAGGGACGGTCACACGAGGAGGACGGCAAAC